AGGTGGCTGTTAGCTCTGAGTTTTCTTAGAGACATAGGTCCAGCATCTGTGACACCTCTGGGGTTTTATCAGTCACATGTTCTTTACTAGCAAACGATGTCATTCCCAGGCAAATACAGTCAGCCCTCCACATCCGTGGGTTCTACATCTGTGCATTCGACCAACCATGCATCAAAAATATTTGGGAAAAAATTGCATCTGTACTGAACACATACAGAATTTTTTTCTTGTCATTATAACCCTAAACAATACAGCCTACATAGCATTTACATTGCATTAGGTACTATAAGTAATCTAGAGATGATTTAAAGTATATAAGAGGATGTGTATAGGTTATATGCAATTACTAAGCCATTTTATATAATGGACTTGAGCATTCTTGGAGCCTAGTTGTTGCTTTGTGTTGCTTCGCCCCCCACGGATTTGTCACTCCACTTCCCCTGGGTGACGGAGATGCAAAGGATTACTCAAAGCCCATCTCTTCCGAGCAGTGAGAAGCCCCAAAGTGGTTAACTTCCCTGGGAACACTCCCTCCAGCAAGAGGCAACCCTTCCACGGGAAATTAACACCAAATTGGGGTTCTCTTCCTGCATTTATTTTCCAGACCAGGAAGTTACAGGAAGAGACATAGATGGGGTTATAGTTTAACAATATAGGCTGGTAACTTTCAGTGAAACAAGTCAGATGACATTCCATTAGACAATTAAGTGATCTTACAGCAATTTCTCAGTATCTTTACTTTACATAACAATCAGTAACTAGTCTGTCCTTGAGCCAGCAACCTTGCTGTGCCACAAATCTTTTTTTTTTTTTTTTTTTTTAAAAGATGACCGGTAAGGGGATCTTAACCCTTGACTTGGTGTTGTCAGCACCACGCTCACCCAGTGAGCCAACCGGCCATCCCTATGTGGGATCCGAACCCTTGGCCTTGGTGTTATCAGCACCGCACTCTCCCGAGTGAGCCACAGGGCCGGCCCTGTGCCACAAATCTTTATCTTACACCAGAGACTTATAGGCTGAGGAAAATTTCCAGTCCTCCGCAAGGTCAGTATTTGAAACCGCAAGACTTTGGAAAACCAGGCCCTGTGAAATACATATGCTTTATAGTATATTCCACACTGGTATCCACAGGGGGTCCTAGAACCAATCACCCACAGATACAGAGGAACGACTGTACCTCATCCATTCATTCAGTAAATATCGATCGAGAATTTTCTGTGAGTCAAGCTTTGCTTCAGGCATGGGAGACACAGCTGAGAAAAAAACAAGGATGTTTTTGTCCTCATGTTTTCTTCCATTTATTCAAAAATATCTTTAGAGCACAGACTGCGTGCCAGGCACTGTTCGCAGTGCTGGGGACACAGCAGTAGAAAGGAGATGTGGTCTCTGCTCTCACAGAGGTGACAGTCAGAGAGGGGGGACACAGACAGTAGCAAACAATTATAATCAAAGGGATCCGTACAGGAAGCCTGGGTACACTGCTTAAGTATTTTATTCTTTCCCTCAATTGATGAATTTATACCAATGCATAAATGCTTATGTTCCAGGTTTGTGGAGGAAACATAATGATATCTGCTCAAATATTCCAAGCCCTGGGCCGGCCTGTGGCTCACTCGTGGTGCTGATAACACCAAGGCCACGTGTTCAGATCCCATATAGGAATGGCCGGTTGCTCACTGGGTGAGCGTGGTGCTGACAACACCAAGTCAAGGGTTAAGATCCCCTTACCGGTCATCTTTAAAAAATATATATATATATTCCAAGCCCTGGTTAGAGCTTAGAGCTCTCAGAGTCTGCTAAATGCATGAAAAAGCAAGACAGCAACAGAAAGGATGTCTTCAGGAAATGTGTGCTCAAAAGATGAACAGGGAATTGAGCTATCAGAGGTGAACGTGTGGACACAGTGACTCATGGAGAAGGCCACCAAACTCCACTCTAATCCTATCATCCTCCTGCTTCTGACCCTCCAGCTCTGTCTGCAGCCACGCCCCGCTCCCACCCCTACCCCCACTCTAGGCTGCCACTAAGAGGCTGCTATCTCTCCAGACCTGTCTTTTCCAGACACTTAATATAAATGGAATCACACAAAAGGACTTTTGGGAGTGATAAAAATGTCGTAAAAGGTAATGGTGATGCTGGGATATCACTCTATATTTACTAAAAATCACAGAATTATACACTTAAAACAGGAGAATTTTATAGTATGTACATTATGTCTTAATAAAACTGTTTTTAGGTCTAGCCAGCTAGCTCGCTTGGTTAGAGTGTGGTGCTGATAACACCAACATCAAGGGTTCAGATCCCCTTATGGGCCAGCTGCCAAAACGAAAACCAAAAAGTGTTTTTTCATAAAAAAGGAAAAAACCTTCCAGTGGCTGTTTATTTCACTTTGACTATAATCCAAACTCAGGGCCGGCCTGTGGCTCACTCGGGAGAGTGCGGTGCCGATAACACCAAGGCCCCGGGTTCGGATCCCATATAGGGATGGCCGGTTTGCTCACTGGGTGAGCGTGGTGCTGACAACACCAAGTCAAGGGTTAAGATCCCCTTACCGGTCATCTTTAAAAAAAAAAAAAAAAAAATCCAAACTCATTTCCCTAGAGCCTTCCCTGCAGGATCTGGCCCTCCCACCTCGACATCCCCACCTATCCTCACTGGCTCTCCTTCCTCCAGGCTGATCTTCCTGCTGTACCCACCACGCTCTTTCCCATCTTGAGTCTCTGGGGCCCCAATCTCCCCACATCTGTGCTTTCTTTCCTGTCCTTCATGTTTCAGTCTGAATGGGCTTAGAGGGGCCTTCCTGCCATGCCTGCAACATCGTTCTTTCAGCCCTGCTCCTTACTGCTTGCATTTATCACAGACCTGTGTCATGTCTGTCTCCCCAGGAAAATCTCAGCTCCATGGGGGCAGGGACTGGCTGGTCTTTGCCAGTACAGTGTCATCAGCATGGAGCACATGGAGATGCTCGACCTGTTGAATACACAATGATGGTAGAACTCCAATGAGGGGCCGGCCTGTGGCTCACTCGGGAGAGTGCGGTGCTGATAACACCAAGGCCACAGGTTCGGATCCCATATAGGGATGGCCAGTTTGCTCACTGGGTGAGCGTGGTGCTGACAACACCAAGTCAAGGGTTAAGATCCCCTTACCGGTCATCTTTTAAAAAATAATAAAAAAATAAGAACTCCAATGAGGACGCTAAGAGGGGACAAAGGTATTCCAGGCGGAAAAATGCGTGTGAGCAAAAAGCAAAGCTGCTGGAGAATTTCCATGACACCGGTTACGTGCTTGGAACAACTTGTCAAAATCCAAGTAGGGAGAAGACCAAAGTCAGAACTCACCAGAGACTGCCTGCTTCTGCAACTTCCGGATGACGTAGAGGCTTTCCGGAGGCAGGGAGGTTACTGAAGGCTTGAGCTTGTTTGCTGGGTATTTTTAGCAGCCTAGATGCAAAGATCAGAAAGATATACTCTCTCTATGTAAATATATTTGCATCAGGCCAGGTTGTTTAGTCCCCTGAGAGGGGCAGTCCTTTTGAATGTGGTTAATTGAAGTGAAGTATGGTTAGTTCAGTCCTCAGGGCACTCTTGTGGACCAGTGTGAGGCCCCTGACTAATAATTTCCAAAATCAAGGTGTCAGCAGAGCCACGCTCTCTCTGAAAGCTCAAGAGAAGAACCTGTTCCATGCCTCTGTCCTAGGCTCTGCCACCTATCTTTGGCATTCTTGGCTTGTGGCTATGTAACTCCCACCTGCCTCTATCTTCTTTCCTCTGTGTATATCTCTGTCTTTTCTCATAAGGGTACCAGTCAGATTGGATTTTGGGCCTTCCTAAATGACCTTATCTTACGTAATTCCATCTGCAAAGATCCAATTTCCAAATAAGGTCACATTCTGAGGTTCTGGGAAGGACATGAATGGGGGGGTGGGAAGGGAACACTGTCCAACCCAGTACACTGACCCTGATCACACAAGGCTCAAAGAGGGGCCTAAGTTCAAGCAGTAATGGTACTGATCATGGACAGAAAGAGGCTGCCCTGGCCCTGCATACCTGTGGTACCAAAGGCTGACCGGACTTGCACTGGCTTCTGGTGTGATCCATGCATTGCACTGGCACCAAAACTCCACCTAATCCTGGACACTGCCCCGGGAGGAGGCCCGAAGAAACATTTCCTCTCAAAAGAAGCTTGAAGTATGTGCTACAAAATAAACTGGCTCTGTAACTTGAGGCCAGCTTCATGGGCTCCCTCAGAAGGGTCCCGGGCTTGCTTTAGCCCTATGCTCTCGCCCTCTTAAATTCTCAATAGTTTTTTTTAGCAAGGATCCCCACGTGTTCATTTTGCACTAAGTCCCACAAATTATGTAGCTAGCCTGCCTGTCCTCTTCAACAATGTCAAGGTCATAAAAGACAAAGGAAGGGCTGAGGAAGGGTTCCAGACTAAGGGAGACCAAAGAGACCTGACAACTAAATACAACTCCTGGATGGGGGTCCTCGACTGGATCCTGAATGGGGGGGAGGAGGAATTAAACAGCTATAAAGAATATTATAGGGACAACTGGCAACATGTGAACGTAAACTGTGCATTGGGTATAGAACTGCATCAGTGTGAAATGTCCTAATGTTACTTGTCCTGTGGTTCTGCAAAAAAAAATGAGCCGTTCTTAGAAGATACATAGTAAAGTACTGGGGTAAGGGATCACGATGTCTGCAACTTGACTGCAATTGGTTCGGGGAAAAAATGTACATAAATAAAGTACAAATGATAAAGTAAATGGGCAAACGTGAACAATTGGTAGGACATGAGTAAAAAGGACATGGGAGTTCTTTACACTATCCTTGCAACTTTCTGCAGGTTTGGAATTAAATCAATATAAAAAGTTACCATCACTCTCCCAGCCCCCCCACCCCAAAACACGCAGATCCGAAGGCTGCCGACAGCGGCCGATAGCTGGTCGTGAGTCACGTGGGGCGAGCCCACGTGACCGGAGGCCTGCGCCCAACATGGCGGCCTCCACGGCTTGCTGGCTCCTCTTCCTACCCGCGCTGCTCGGCTTCCTCGGGGAGGCGTCCGGTGGTTTTGACGCGGGGTGAGTGCGCTCCCGAGGGGAGAGCCGGGGTCGGGGATCCCCCTGCCCTTGGGGCTCAGGAGCTCACGGCCGCGCCGTCCCCGCAGGGCCTCCCGCGACGATGACTTGCTGCTGCCCTACCCCTCGCGCAGGTCTTAGATTATTCTTTCTGTCATCTGGGTTAGCCATCCCGCCCTCGACCCCCAATTCAGTGAAGATGTCACTTGTCTTTTAAGATTCCACTATGATGTCACTTGCTCTATGACGTCTTGTCCCATCCTCCCTTTCTCTCTTTTTTTTTTTTTAAAAAGATGACCGGTAAGGGGATCTTAACCCTTG